GTGTGCGCTGGGGAGACCATGCATGAATCTATGCTGTTACGAGGATGGCGTTCTTCTGCTCTGTCTGTCCCAGCGGGTATTTCGGAGTGGGCATTGGCGACTCCGATGGATATTTCGGTTCTGGTCCATGGGATTCATGATGATGATGATGATGATGGTATTAATCACGATGATGAACAACTGACGCAAAACTCCCAGTGGAAACCTATATCCGCCGTGTTCCGAGTCAGAAAGGCTGAAGATGGACCCTGATTCGAAGCTCTCATGCGACCACGACGAAACCCAGACCTTCCCTGCGCTTCCGATATGCCCAATGATTCATGATGGATTATTATCGTCGGCTCTGAAACCCTGGAAGGCGATGGAACGAACACATGGCAAACTGACCGTCCCGAAACCAAAAAAAATTACAGATACTCTGGTACGTGTGGAGCAATGGTTCCAAGTGAAGGAAATGAGATTCCCCACTGTTCATTCCGCGCCGTTGGCAAAAAAAAGTGGGAACAACATGCAGCAGCAGCAGCAGCAGCAGCAGCAGCAATGGCCTTGCGGATTGCGGAGGCAGTGTAAATCATGGTCAATCATGGTCAATCATGGTCAATCATCATCTCCTCGGGTATGTGTAATTAGCGCTTTTTGGTGGTCGGAGGGTTAACTGAAAAAGACATCGAATTGCGATTGTCGTTCCTGGTGGTCTTCAATTTGGCGCTTCATTTCCTATCATAGCAATGTGGGTAGATCGGAATTCTCTAGCTTTCTTGATCGGTCATAGTCTGGCTGTGAAGTGGTGATCATGTGCCCTCTGTGCCTGTCCCGAAGTGGATAGACTAAACTAGACTAGACTGATCACTAAACCTCCCGCCAGGAAGCTGAGCCCGTCTCTTGTGCTTCTTTGCCATCCCGACACTCTAACGAGGTGAACTCATCAGTCTCCCTGTCTCTGTCCCTGTCTCTGTCTCACCTGCACTGCCCGTATCTTTGCCGATGAGTGATTGGCGCCTTGCGCCAGTCAATCACCTGCTTAATGCAGGTACTATGCACCTCGCTGCAGCTCTGACAATCCTAATTAGAATTTATGCAGCGCCGAGTACGGGGTACTGACTGCGAGACAGACTCGGTCGATCAACCCCCCCTCTCCCGAACCTCAATCTCCCTCTAAGGTTTATTCATCTTTAAGGATCAATCAATGTCGGTGTGGTCAGGATCCGCAGCCGATGGAGGCGAGGGACCACGATCGCAATCCATCTCCAGCGGTGAAGATCAACCTCAGACAGACAGAGAATTGTCTCCGCTTCATGGAATGGTACCCGCCCTTCCAGAAGTCTTTCCATTCCACGGTTCACCGCTCTTTAATTAGCAGGAAACGAGGGGCAGATTTCCAGAGAGACGAGAAGATTCGGGGTGGTTTCGACGAATTGATATGGATCCATTTCGAACCCCCTCCAAACCAATGCCCGCTAATCGCGGGCTAAAAGGCCACTAATTATGATGCAAATCCCGCTAGCCACCAGTCCATCGTGAAGCGGTCCCAGCCGCCAAGCACATCGTGGGTTTCAATTGCAACCGATGGTCCACTACTGCTGTCTCTTCCTGCGCGAGCGCGCGCATGCGGTGTATGTCTACACCAATGATCGGTTGGATAGTCGCTATCCTGGTGCACGTACAGGTTGGGGTAGCCCGATTGCTGAACAAGAAGCCGACTGTCCCCATTCCTTGACGTCGCGATTCGGTAATTCCTGTTGAACTTGTACGACCGTCAAGGCTGGTATCGAGGATTGGGCTTGAATCCCCATCCTGCAGGCCCCATCGGAGCCGCCATAGAACAATAATGGAAGAAAGCCTCCGCACTTCGTTGGGCGTTGGAATTGACTCGTAAACTACTCTAAGGCGTTTTGGCCCTCCTCCTTGTAGGGCCCCTCTCAGATCTTGAAAGAAAACGGTGAGCCGAATTCGGAGGATCCTGCGCCACTTTTCTGTTGGGGAGACAGGGAACGGGATTAATTCGGGTCCACCCGGGGTCAGGCTTCGATGTTGTTATCAGCAAGCTACTCTAAACGCTAAGCATGGACTCCGCTCAGCTGCCGAAATGCCAAACATCGTTCCGTTCAGGCCTTGATATCGTTTTGGGTTGTGTCTATATCACGACTCGATATAATTTTCCAAGGAAATTGCAAGAACTGCCCTGTCCAAAGAGAGCGCCCATGCCAGGATCTTGGCATATGCAGCAAGCCGGAAGTTAAATCAGCACTACAGGCCTGCAGATGCATCTGGCGCAGTGTCCCCGAGCATCGCGCAACTCGTTTCCGTCCAGAGCGCCATCTGTGGCGCTATGTGTGGTGAATCAAATGCGCCATGGTGAGAATGGCCGAATTGGACCGTGAGAAGCTTCGCGCAAAAGCAGGACCTTGAGACCGCGGGTTGCACAGAGAGCATTGTAGACAACGGTAGAGATGGCCTGATAGCTCCACAAATTGCACGTAGCACTACCGTCTCTGTTGCATAAACGGCTGCAGGGGTGTGTTTCATGGTGACCTCGAGGCTGCAGATCCAGGCATTGAGTGAATGCCGTGGAGCCTGCTACCGTGCCAGATGGAAGTCAAGATCATCCCACTCTGCCCAATAACGGTCATGATCAGGGATGTCTGCAAGGCAGGGTTGCACATCATACTTGCCTCTTACAGCTATGCAAAGTTGACGCGGACGAGATTGCACGTTCGGTCTGCCGACCATCGGATCCGAGAGTCAGCGCTGGCTATCACCGACCGATAGGCCCATCTACCCCGCACATGTCCAAGCAATTCTTCAGAATCAGTCCTCAATCAGGTCACCTTGAGCCTGTGTAGAAATCCATTCTTCCATCAGGACCTGGCGACCAGGCTCTGAGGAGCCAGGCGCCGCGGTCACCCCGTCACTTTTGCGTGTGACGAGCAGACACAGCACCCAGCCGTAGATGTTGAACCCCTCATAGTTCGTTTTGAACTGCATCTTCTTGTCCTCGGTCTCATCTATCTGTGGTATCGAATCCTCCTCTTTCCTCCGTTTGGAAGTGCGTCGATCATTCGGGGACTCGTCCCGCTCCTCCGTCGCTCGCGCACGTTTCCCTCCGGCATTGCCTTCTTCGACCGCACCGGCTTCGGGAATATCCTGCATCCGCAGGTCACTCTCGTCATCGCTTTCGACCAGAATATGACCCCCGGCGGTGCCATCGGCCCCCGCCTGACCTGGCAGCTTGTTCTGGCCGTTGTTTGCGTCTTGTTCAAACTCCTTGTGTCGCGTCAATAGAGAGTGGCGTGTTCGAGATTCGCGAAGGAACAGAGCGACTTCGAAGTCATCTGCACCCATGGCATGATGTTAGCAAGTCTTGTTCTCAACCCCGCCGAAAACCAGAGGACTTCCGCTTGCATCGGCCGAAAGTCGGAGCATACCTTCTGCGATGACATCCTTGACGGGCTTGCCTTTCTTCCGGGCATAAAGTCGCTCGTTTTCTTCGCGTAACTTGGGCAGGACCAAGGGTCGAATGGCGGCAAAGATCCGTTGCAGGACGGGGTCACGGCTGCTGAGCAGCCATCGGATGTCGGAGGGCTTCTCGAGGTAGATCCGGCACTCGAGCACGGTGTATTTGCTGATCCGGAGGTAGCGGCGAATCGGCGCCATGAGGGCAGCGATCACGGTTTGTACGGATGGAATGTAGGTGCTGTGGTGTTGGAGAGAAAGTTGATACCGAAGTCGAATTTCGGGCTAGTATTCGGTAGCTTTGAAGAAGATAGATAGATAGATAGGTAGAGTGTCAGAGTGGAAGGGGATCGAGTATGCGTGTGTGTGTTGATGTCATGTGTGAGGTGGTCGTCGGCGAGAGTTGGCGGAAAGCGTGACGTGACCGGGCTCGGAGCTGCGCCGCCAAGCGCGCCCGGCAAGGGCGGAAAGACTGGGCATCTTCGGCATCTTCCCCCAAGGGCGGTGTGCAGTGTGCAGTGTGGTTAGGAGCCTGCGATATCTTGTCTCTCTCGTCGTCTCTTTCGAAGTCCCTCCATAATATACAGTGTCCTACCTGTATATTGCCATGCCAAAACCATAGTTAAGAATTTGGTTCAGACTAATGAGAGATGCGTGACCTCATGAGTCTATATTTGCTTCCTTGGGTACCCTGATGGTGTGATCTGGGGCTTGTTGAATTGACTTTTCGTGAGGGTGGTCCATGGTTCCTTCTCATTGATACTATAGTACATCTACGATTCATTCAACCGACTCATCCACAGCATAGAGAACGAGTGTATGAATAACCTGACCGGTATTCAACCTACTCCGTAATAGATCTTTCTCTATGAAATGTCTGAACTTGACTTTTCTCTCGTTTCCTCTTACGGCACAGCTAAAGAACTGAAGTGTACTCTATTGTAGACTAACTACAGACATCTTATCATATCCTGTGTAAACACGTGACATAGCCCACCCCGAGATTGGTCCGGGCCAATCAGCAGCCCAAAAAATGGAGGGTCATCCTGTCCGCAAGGTCCCCAAGTGCCCGAGGAATTTGACGTCGATTTCCTCCAAGGTCCCCATCCACTGCAACATCGACCCGCACCTTTCCCAGAACAGAGTCGAATTCTTCATCGCCCGCCACGATGGCCTTCCTCGTCCATTCCCTCTGTCCGCCTGCTTATTGCGCCTGTATCACCTCAGGTGCATCTGCTCGTTTATCCTTGCGACGTGTCGGTCATTCTCGAGTCGTCAGGCTACTCAATCGCTCTCTTAGTCACTGCAGCTGGGTCGCTTCCCCCACTGTGCTACCAAGGTCCCCATCCGACAGGCTGCTGCTGTCTCGCCCTCACTAGTTTGACGTGGGCATTCTTGACTAGTCTCAAGGACCTTGGGGACTGTCGACGTGCCCGTTGGCAGCCGCACAACCGGATTTCGAACATTCAAGAGCGGGGGGTTCGAAAAAAAACAGACCACTTAATAAAGAACGCGGACCTTGCAGACGGACACTGGCAGGCTGGCAGCATTCTCAACCCTTCACATTCCTCCTCCCACGTGCCTTTTTGACGCCTGCCACAACCCCTGTCACACACCCATCCGGCGATATCATTGGACTCCTTAACGGTGTCGCTGGCTTCTAGCGGTCGATCTATCCTGTTAAACCTTGTCCTTGAAGGCGGGCCCGTGCCACACATACACAGCGCACAGCACAGGCCCAAGGATCCTTGAGTTGCCGACGGATCTGGAAAAGGACGAGTGAGCGCAGAAAGCATGGACTCCCTCCATACCCTCATTGCCAGAGACGATGGCTGCCCCACGGGCAACGACTACGACGGCCGAATCGGCCTGCGCATCTCCTCCATCTTCGTGATCTTCATCGGCTCGTCGTTCGGGGCTATCTTCCCTGTCTTTGCGCGCAGCTTCAGTGACGGCAAACTGTCGAAATGGGCCTTCTTCGTCGCCAAGTATTTCGGGTCCGGTGTCATCATTGCCACGGCGTTCATCCACCTGTTGGCCCCGGCCGAAGAGGCTTTGACGAGCGATTGCCTGACGGGGCCGATCACAGAGTACTCGTGGACTGAAGCGATTGTATTAATGACGATTGTGGTGTTGTTCTTCGTGGAGCTCATGGTCATGCGCTACGCACGCTTCGGGCACGGCCACGCTCATGACTCGGACAGCGAAGAAGACGACGACAGCCACCACCACCACCACCACCACCACGACGTCCAGCACCACCACCACCACGTGGAAGCCGAGCAGCCGGTGGCCGTCTCCGAGGACTTCAAAGGCCACATGCCGGGCGAAGACCACCTGGGCCACTCGCGCGAGCACCACGACGTCGAAGCGGGCAAGAACCACTCGCACCTGGAGGAGTACATGGCGCAGCTGACGTCCATCTTCATCCTGGAGTTCGGTATCATCTTCCACTCGGTGTTCATCGGCCTGACTCTCGCGGTCACCGGCACCGGGTTCGTGACCCTTTATGTTGTGCTCGTCTTCCACCAAACGTTCGAGGGGCTCGGTCTGGGCTCGCGCCTCGCCACAGTGCCGTGGCCGCACGCCAAGCGATGGACGCCGTATTTCCTGGGCCTCGGATTCGGCGTGTCCACCCCAATCGCCATCGCCATCGGTCTGGGCGTGCGCAACAGCTACGCCGACAGCGGCGCCACGACGTTGATCGTCAGCGGCGTGTTCGATGCGATCTCGGCGGGGATTCTGATTTACACGGCGCTGGTGGAGCTCCTGGCGCACGAGTTCATGTTCAGCACGTCGATGCGCAAGGCCCCGATCCACGTGGTGCTGTCCGCTTTCGGACTGTTATGTTTGGGTGCGCTGCTGATGGCGTTGCTTGGGAAATGGGCCTGATTTTTGGGGGGCTTGTTTATATGTATATAGAAAGATACCTGTTAAAGGTTATCCGCGCATACTTTAGATACTTGCGCCTTTTAGAAATAAAGCTGGACTTTAGCATTTCGATGTTATGTACTGTGCAGTAACGAGTAAGCCACATCAAGATCCACATCCACATCCACCCATCTCATACACCCCCTTTCCCAACCCCTCTCTCCAACAAAAACCAAACTTAAGAACAATTACAACTCATCCTTCGCCACCCCATCAATCCCCACCAACTCCGTCTCGAAGATCAACGTCGCCCCGCCGGGGATCGGGCCCACGCCACGACTCCCATACCCGTACTCGGGCGGAATCGTCAACGTCCGCTTCTCGCCGATGCACATGTCCAGCAGGCCTTGGTCCCAGCTACACGCCAAAGAAAGTTAGCTTTTACTGCCGCCCAATGCGATGCAATGCAATCCGTCCAGCCCACCCAGCCCAGCCCAATCCAAACAATGTAACGAAAGCCCCCCAAATCCAACTCAACCTGCCCAAAAGAGAGGGGAAAAGGTCAAAAACTCACCCCTTAATAACCCGCCCCGCACCCAACTTGAACACCAACGGCTGGCCGCGCTTGTAGCTGGCGTCGAACTCGGAGCCGTCCGCCGCCAGTGTGCCGCGGTAGTGCATGTGCACCGTGTCGCCGCTTTGGGTCTTGCGGCTGCATTCGACGGGGTAGGTGACTTCGATGCCAAGGGAGGAGGAGGAGGAGGAGGAGGAGGAGGAGGCGGCGGCCAGGGTGGCCGTTAGGGCGGTGAGGGCTAGGGAGAGGAGGCGCATTGTTTCGGTTCTGTTTGTTGAATTGTAGGTGGGTTGGTTGAGGGATTTGGAGGTGAGGGTGGTGAGATGGTGAGGTGGTGAGGGTTATTACGTTTTATGTTTTCTGGGGGTGGAGGTGGCTGCTAGCTTGGTAGGTGCCAGGTGGAGGTGCGGTGCGGTGCCAATGAAGAGTCCGCGGTGGACGGTGGCGGGCGGTGTTCCGCATCCGGGAGGGGCTAGGGTACTTTTCTAAGGTAATGCCGAGCGCCTACCGCTACAGGCCCGGTGGGTGGTTCTTTGTCTTGCGGGAGGACAGGAAGGTAAGTACACGTGTTTTGGTTTGCAGCTTTCGAGGTGCATTCGTTTGGGTGTGGTATTTGGGCTTTGCTTTCTCTCTAGGAAGGGTCTGCGCTCTAGGTTGGTTGGTCATTCTTGATTAGAGTACAGTGGATTGGACAATGGATATCATGTCATCAGTAGTGTCGCGCGAGGTGGATGGCATAGCCAGTTGATATATTCTATGAAGGAGCTATACAACTGATCTGTACGTATATCCAAGTATATCACATCACAAATCTAGGGTATCATCTGCTAAACACAACATCAGTCAACCCCCCCCCAAGTCAACCAACTCAATCCATCGCATCCAACTCATTCCCCCCTCCAGAACTCTCTGCCTCCGTCTCCGCCACCAAAATTCCGACCAAACACTCCCCAAGAATCGCATCCCAATTCACCCACGGATGAATCTCCATGAACAGCTGCCCGGAATCCTTGCCCACCCCGCGCAGCAGCTCCCCTTTCCCGCCCGGGTGGAACGGCAGATACGGCGTGATGTTGTACACCTTCCCCTGGTAGGACGTCCACGCGTCGGCCCCCTTGCGCCCGTTCTGCGCCTTGAGCATCGACGGCGTCACCCGGATCAGCGTGGGCGGCAGGTTCTTGCCCCGGAGGTTGTTGTTCGGGTTGGACGTCAACGCGGCCCAATCCAGCGGCGAGTACCCCGGTTGGAGGATGTGTTTGTTCTTGTTCGACGCGGAGGACGAGAGGGGCTTCGCGATCAGCTTCGTCGGTGCGAGGGAGGAAGGGGAGGAGCGGCTCGGCGGCGCGCGGAGGGAGGAGGCGGCGGATGGGGGTGGGCGGAGGGATCCTGCTGGGCCGGCGGCGGGGTTTGTTGGGCGCGGAGGGTAGCGTCCTGAGGTCAGGGAGGATGATAGTGATTGCTGTGGCTGCTGCTGGGCTGCGATTGGGCGGAGTCGGGGAAGGGGTGGCGGAGGCATGGACGTGGTTTTGGAGGAAGTAGTTGAAGCTGTCGCGGAAGGTTGGGGGGAGGGGGGAAGGAGTTGCGGAACCGGTAGCGGTGGCGGAAGCATGAGACTTCCATTGCTCGGTTTGGGTTGGGAGGATGTTGCTGCTGTTGCTGTCGATGGAGGGGATAAGGGGTCTATTGGTCCATTGTGGCGGGATTGATGGTCGTTTTGCGCGACAGGTTTGGTCTCGTTGTCCAGGTGTAAGGATGGTATCTCAATAGAGGGCACGTTCGTCGCAGAAGCCTTGGGAGTGCTTTGGGTATCCTCTACGAGGACATCAGGCTCGAGAGACTCTACAGCGTCCCTGGTGCTCCCAGTAGTGGGCGGTTTCGCGGATGTCTTCTCGGACGGAGGCTGAGGCGCCCAGGTAGCGGGCGGATGTCGGTAAATAAGATAACATGCAGCTGCAATCAGCGTTGCGACTCCAAACCAGCCCATGCTAGGCAGTGGTATGATCTGGTGAGTCGTGGCAAGGGAAGGAAAGGGGCAAGCAGAGAGGAACAATTATGCGGAGGGGAAAGCTGAAAATGACGCCGCAGCGCCGTCTATCGGCACGTGGTCCCTGCGTCGGCCCCTGATCGCCGCCTCAGGAATCCTCTCGCCTCCGCCGCGGCCAACACTATGGACTACATTATTAGTCACAATGCCGCCCAACTACCTTCGCCTCGGAAAAAGAATACAAAGGAGAAAGAGAGAAGAAGCGAAGTACTACATATCACACTAGATTCCTGCCATGTGTTATTCATATTGGGCCTGGAAGTCACAAGCCGTGCCGGATATTGCTACTTCATGGTGTATTGTTGATTGTTCGTACGTGCTACTCAAAGAAGTGAAACACGTAATGTGGAAAGAAGTCGAGCGGCAAAAGGCTTTGTCCAGCAACCTATGTTATCGACACTGAGTCTCGGCATTGGGTCAAAAACAAAGGTGACTACATCACGACAAACCGCATTGAAGAGACAAAGCAATGCCTCAGAGCTCCTTGCAATGGTCGAGGTGAACCAGGGTACCACCCGAGAACCAGACTACAACTGTAGGATATCACCAATCAGGAATAGATACGATAACATTGGTATGTACACTCGAAACAGAAAATAGGAGTTGGATGGTGTTCACAGTAGTCCGCAAATCACACATGTTAAGGAGTTTCCAACCCAGCACAAGGGAAACCATAAGGGGAATCTGAGAAAGAAGGAAAACGACAAAATCACACGAAGTCGATCTAGGCGAAGTCAAGCTCGACGTCCAAGCGGACAGCCTCCTCGTTGGAGTTACCACCAATGCCGTCAGCATCGGCGAGGTTGGAAGTGTAGGCGTTGATGACCGAGGCGAGAGCGTTGCCGATGGTGGAGCACTTGGAACCGGTGTGGTCGCAGATCTTCATACCCTGGACCTCCTGGCCAGCGTTCTGGGCCTGGATGGCGGACACGTCCCAGCCGGACCAGCCGTCGTTGCTAGTGTTGCCGAAGTCGAATTCACCCCAGGTGCAAGAGTAACCGCCGTACTCGTCGGTGGGAAGAGAGTCACCCTTGGCAGCACCCCAGCCACCCTGGGAGTCGGAGTCGAAGGCGACGTAGCGGGTCTCACCGGCCTTGATCTTGAACTCCAGAGCCGAGTTGCCGTACCAGCCATTCAGACCACCGTTGGGACCGATCTTGTTCCAGAACTTGACGGTCCAGTCGTCGGACGAGCTACCCTGGAAGCGGACGACGTACTGGTAGAGACAGGCCTTGTCCTCGCTGACTTCGATGATGTTGCTGCCCCAGGGGCTGCCGACGTTACCGGAGTAGTAGATGGCATCGGTGGTGCGCTTGGCGTTGGACTTGGCTCCGAAGCCAGAGCGGGAGTAGCTCGACGAGGTCGCAGACCAGGACTTGCAGGTGCCGTCGGCAGAAGAGACAACCGAGGCGGAGCTCGAAGTAGCGGCAGCAGCGCTGGCGGCAACGGTAGCAGAGGCAGCGACGTTAGCGCTCACCTCGATGGTAGCAGCAGCCGCGACAGTAGCAGCAGCCTTGTTGGACTCAACAGTAGTCGTGGCAGAGCCAGACCAGTCGTTGACCCAGGACTCGAGGACACCGTCGATGACAGCGTAGACCTCGTCACCGACGTTGCGCTTCTCGTGGTGGTGGTGGCGGCGCTCATGGCCGTGCATGCGAGCGACGGAAGAACCAGCCGTCAAGGCGGTCAACAGAAGCATGGAGTTCTTGAGCTGCATTGTGAAGAATGATGATGGTTGTAGTCTTGATGAGAGTTTTTGCTTTTGCTTTTGCTATGAAAGAGGTGCGAGACGAGGGTATCACGGATGTTTAAGTTGGAACCACAATCGAGACCAGGGTAGACGCAGTTGAAAGAGTGATTGATAGGCAGTTCAAGTGAATAAGGAGTGACAAGAGCAACACAATAATGAGAGCCCTCGACCTGAAACAAGCAATCGACAAAGGAGTGTGGGTTGCGAGCACCTGGAAGAATGATGGATTGAGAGAAAGAAGAAAGGGAGAAGAAGGAAGGAAAAAGAGGGATGAGGGATGAGGGGGGGGAGAGGAAGAATTAAATTTGAAAATGAAAATGAGCGAGCATCGAGCCAGACTCTCACCGTCCAGTTGGGGATGGGGGTGAGTTTGTGAGTTTGTTGGTCAAGATCACGGATTGAAGGCACACCAAGACCCGTAGAGACCGACAATTAAATGAAAAGGGGGGCGGTTCCTGAACTAAGGTCAACACTGCACAGTCATTGGTGGTCAGCCCCACTCAGACCGCGGTTCGAGGCTCGGATTTCCCTGGATTGGTTCTGTCGATCCGCTCGTATCATACCGTTTGATTACCGTGCCTGGTACCTTACATGCATCCGATGGGTGAGACGAGTGAAGATGGAATTGTACCTACAGTAGAGTGAGTAGCTTGTTGGAGCAGACCACAACAGCAACAGCAACAATGCAAGGCCTCGTCGTCTCCATCTCACACCAGTGATATCATGATATCTCCACGATCTCTCTCGATCCTTCCGACACGTCATAATCAATGTATCTCCCAACAGACAAGTCACTATCACACTGCTGTCGCAGACATTCGTGATTGATTAGATCTCGCGGATGGCTTCTGTCCACCACCAGGAATGCTGCTGCCCGATCTGAGGAATTCAGCCCATTCGAGCCATCGCGCACTGCTTATCGATACGTGCCTGCTGAAGAGTCACAATCTGCAGGCGCACTGCCTGCAACTTCGTCATCCCCTGCGAGACCCAGCTTCCCCCTCACCTCTCCTTCTACACTCTATTCGCAGCCAGGACAACCACCACTGTAATTTCAATGGACCACGTCAGGACCCACGAGGTTCGCCGTTGTGAATCATCGGGCAACCAACCGATGATGTCAATAGCAACGATGTGATGGATATATCGCGGGGGAGACCGATAGAGACACTGTCTAAGCCGGACTTGTGGTTGCCCATGATACAGGATGAATAGGGTGAGTGGCGTATCAATTGGACACGTACACTGCCCACACGGACTGAACAATCTCATTGCCATCTATTCTGGCCCATTCAATATCCGACTACTCCGTATTCCGTACTCTCCCCAAGCAAGTCGAGAGTCGGTGCGCTGCGGTCGTGTTGCCCCGTCGTGTTGCGGAGATGCCTACAGTGTGGACTGCCTTTGTTACGGAATGGTCGGTATTGTGACTGCCTACACGCTGGACACGAATACCCTCAGGGCCCTTCAGGGACTCCAGGGTCTGTTGCCCCTCCGTCCCTGGATGCCATCACGCAAGCCAGCCGGCGCCATAAGGACCCTGAATAGCCCCCAAATCGAAAAACACCTGAAACGAATTCCGCGGTCGGATGGCGGCTGCAGGAACAACCTCACGGCGAGCAGCGACTACAACAACATAGGCTGAGTGTTATTTCACCGTGTCTTACCAGTACGAAACAGGCCATTGGAATTGAATTGACTTGGTCGCGCCCACTGACCATAACCAAGCCCACAGTAATGTCAATCGCCACCCACCAAAGGTTGGCCCGTGAGAGAATAGAGACACCAATTTCAATGGTCGAAAACTCAGTTTATCCACCGTCCTGTGTGACCGACGTTGGTCTGGATCACTTGATTCTCGAGCCCGTGCTTGCCGAGAGTCTACTGCAGAGTACTGAGGCCAGTAAATAAACAACGTTCCCTTGGGTGGTTGCGGACTGGATGAGACGGAACCAGAGTTACTCAACTATGGAACAACTCTCGGAACCGCGAGCCTTTTTTCGGTCACTTGAGAATGACAGGATTGGGAAATCTGCCAAGTTACCTCCCCCCTAAGTCTAACACTAGACCATATCATGAATAGCATGCTGCCGAACACTCCTTTTTTTTCTGGAGTTGGGAGCCCCCAAATTTAGAGTGTTGCCTGCCTGGTTTGAGATGATGCTATTCCTGTCAAGGAGAGCGACTCGTCAGCTCTTGTGCGATCTTCCCCCTCCATCCCGTGTCAGGTGACTTGGTGTCCGGAAAGAGACTCCAAGCACTGCCGGCGGGTTGCCGGACGAACTCCAAGGTTGTTTGACTTACAGTGAGTCTAATTGACTAAGGTAGTGTTTTGGCCTTCCCAATCAAGGCACAGCATTTCACAGCAACAGTCATTTCGTTCCATAAATTTATACAATATTTACATTGACGTTGTTAACAGATCTCTAGAATACAGTAATCATGACAGACATAGCTTGAAGGCGACGATCTACTTCTGCAGCTCAACCCCTCCTTCGAAAGCAGCGCCGCCCGCCTCGGCGTCCACCTTCATACTCTCGTCGAGCCCGCAAACACGGAACAGCATCTGTGGGGTCATGTCCTTGCTCAATCCTGGGATGCCATCCCTCTTGAGCTTTTCCATCGCCTCCTGCATGGCTTTATAAGCTGGACCAATGGCTGCGAAAGGAAAGATGATAATCCGGAATCCCATCTCCTTGGCTTCCTGCGCCGTGATGTCCGGTGTCGCTCCATGCTCAACCATGTTCAAAAGCAGTGGCCACCCCGCCAGGTCCTGCACCACCTGTCGAGCCATTTCCTTAGATGTGATGCCCTCGAGGAACCCTACATCTGCCCCAGCGTCGCGCGCCGCCCGCAGTCGTGCCACACTTTCCTCGTAGCCGCGCACCTGCAGGGCATCCGTTCGCGCGATCACCACGATGTCGCTACCGATCCGCTGACGAGCCTGCACGGCGGCGCGAATTCGCGTCACATAGGTGTCTTGATCCACGAGAATCTTGCCTCCGAGATGGCCGCAGCGTTTCGTCTGAACCTGGTCCTCGATGTGAAAGGCGGCAACTCCAGAGCGCGAGTATTGTTCGGTCGTGCGAGCAACCATGATCGGGCCGCCATATCCGGTGTCTGCATCGGCAATGACGGGCGTGGTGGGGCAAAGATTGGAGATCATTTCCGCATGAGCGCGCATGTCGTTGAGGGTGCAAATACCCAGATCCGCATGGCCGTGGACGGAGGCAGCCGTACCGGCACCCGTCTATGAGAGCTTGTTAGCAGATTTGATTGTGGCTGGGCTTGCGTTGCCACTCACCATGTAGAGGGCATTGAAGCCTGCTCCGAGAGCAATGCGAGCGGAGAAACCGTCATACACTCCGGGAGCGACGACGAATGCCTCAGGGTCCGCGAGAGCCTGCCGCAGGCTTGTAGCTGCTGTTACCATAGGCATGATGATGTTGGTGGCTGTATACACGAATAGGTAGAGCAGTGTTTCAGGGAGAAAAAAAAGTCAATGACGTCGCCACTCAGACTCGGGTCTTGAGGGCGAGAGAGCTGGCTTTATAGGGCGTTAATCCATTGCCCGAATCCCAAAAGTCGCCTCGCCCATTACTCGTCTCGAGCCCCGACCGTTCTTTCGGACCCATAATTCTTCAAGGCAGAAGTAGGCTTCTAGAAAAATGTCATGGCTGCTCAACCGACATCGGCGGACGTTAGGTAATCCTTCGGCATAGTTTCGGATTTGAGAAACACAATGCCACGGGCGCTCTCGGCAGAGGCGATCGAACCGAGCATTGGCACATAAAGCTACGAATGGATGATGATTGTTTGAAGTCTTGCAAGCTGCTTGCCGATGCTTGCCGATGCTTACCGATGCATCGGTTTCGGCTCGGACAGGAAAGTTGAAGGCTTTCAATCAAGCAGCATTAATACTGGGAGTCGGGACTGTCCAGTTGGCAGGTGATTGCGGGCTTTTTCTGCCGCGATTCAACCCCAACTCCGCTCCGCTCCACTTCTCTCTCTTTCCCTCTTCTTCGCTGCATGCAATTCATTCGCCTCTGCTTTCCCTTGGGCGCAAGAATGATCTGAAACCAATCCATCGGTCTCTTTGAATCGATCCACCTCCACCTCTCATCTCCATTTCTCTGATACTTCCTCGACAACCATCTCCATGGCCCGCTCCGCCATTGTGCAGGAATACGCCCCTCCGACCTCCGCTCCCACGCTCTCCGTTGATCGCAAAGTCACCCACGAACGCCAACAAAATGGCGTCGCCCGCCCTCAAGGCTACCGCGTCTCGTGGCATGCAAATCCCGCGGTCGAACTGCATCATTTCGGACAATCGCATCCGATGAAACCCTGGCGGCTCACGCTCACGAAACAGCTGGTGATGGCCTATGGCATGCACCATGCGATGGACCTATACCTGGCGCGCCGGGCCACATACGAGGAGATGGAGGAGTTCCACACGTCCGACTATCTCGACTTTCTCCGCCAAGTGAACCCGGGAGATATGGAGAACTCGGAACAGAGCGAGAACATTGCGCGCTTCAACTTTGGGGACGACTGCCCGATCTTTGACGGCCTATACAACTACTGCTCGCTCTACGCTGGCGGCACCATCGACGCAGCCCGCAAACTGTGCAACAACCAGTCGGAGATCGCGATCAACTGGTCGGGTGGCCTCCATCACGCCAAAAAGTCCGAAGCCAGCGGCTTCTGCTACGTGAACGACATCGTCCTGGGGATCCTGCAGCTCCTCCGCCTCCACCCGCGTGTCATGTACATCGACATCGACGTGCACCACGGCGACGGCGTCGAGCAGGCCTTCTGGTCCACGGACCGGGTGCTGACCGTCTCCTTCCACAAATACGACAAGGACAACTTCTTCCCCGGCACGGGCGCGCTTGACAGCAACGGGCCGACGCACCCGCTGAACCCGGGCGCCCACCACTCGGTCAACGTGCCCCTCCACGACGGGATCGACGACGAGTCGTACATCCAGCTCTTCCGCGACGTGATCGGCTCGTGCGTGGACGTCTACCGGCCCGGCGCCATCGTGCTGCAGTGCGGCGCCGACTCGCTGGGCTGCGACCGGCTGGGCTGCTTCAACCTCAACGTCTCGGCGCACGGCGCGTGCGTCGCCTTCGTCAAGACCTTCAACCTGCCGCTGCTGGTCGTCGGCGGCGGCGGCTACACGCCGCGCAACGTCTCCCGCGCCTGGGCCCACGAGACCTCGATCCTGCTCGACGCCCAGGACGTCATCGACCCCAACATCCCCGAGACCGTCACCTTCCGCAACCACTTCGGCCCGGACTTCTCCCTGTTCCCCCCGCTCTCCGAGATGCGCAAGCTCGAGAACAAGAACCCCCGCCCCTACCTGGCTGGCCTGCTGCAGTCCAT